AGGCTGCAATTGCAAGCATGATCCGAATGGATTTCAGCATAACAACTGGAGAAAAGGTTTCATCATAGTCAATTCCGTGGATTTGCCTATAACCTTTTGCTACCAATCGAGCTTTGAAGGTATGAACCTTCCCGTCTACGTCTGTCTTCTTTTTGAAGACCCACTTGCATCCAATGGGTTTTACCCCTTCAGGCACATCAACCAAGGTCCATACTTGGTTTGTGTACATAGACCCCATTTCAGATTTCATGGCTTCGAGCCATAGATCGGATTCGGGGCATGTAATTGCCTCAAGATAGGTCTCTGGTTCGCCTTGATCTACCAACAAGACGTCACCTTCATCAGACATGAGAAATCCATATCTGACCGGAGGATTACGTATCTGGTCTGACCTACGTGGTATATCTTGAGCAGTTTGAGGTTCAATTGCTTGATCTCTTTGCTCATGTTCCAACACTATCGGGACTTTTTCTTGTGGTTCTCGAATTTCTTCGAGGTCTACCTTTCTCCCACTAGTGATAGCAGAAAGAAACTCCTTCTCAAGGAAGGTTCCATTCTGAGCAACGAAAATTTTGTTATTGGATGGATGATAGAACTCATACCCTCTAGTTTCCTTGGGGTATCCCACGAAAATTACTTTATCAGATTTAGGCTCCAACTTACTAGACGTCATGAGACGTTTTACATAAGCTTCACATCCCCAAATTTTAAAGTACGAGAAACTCGGTTTTCTACCACGCTATAGTTCGTATGGTGTGCTCTCGACAGCTTTAGATGGAACTCTGTTGAGTGTCTGTGCTGCTGTTTTCAATGCATATCCCCAAAATGATTCTGGCAATGTTGTCAGACTAATCATGCTCTGGACCACACACATCGGAGTGTATGAGGCCCAATAAGTCACTCACCCTTTCACTGTGACTGGTGAATGGAGCCTTTGTCATTTTACCAAGTAAACAAGACTTACATACATCATATGACTGGAAGTCAAATGAATCAAGTACACCTGAGCGATGTAACTTAGATATGTGTTTCTCGTTAATGTGGCCCAAACGACAATGCCATAGGTACGCGAGATTCAAACTGTTAGGTTTGTTTCTCTTAACATCCACGTTATAAACTACGGTATCCATGTCGAGGACATAGAGACTGTTGGCCTTGAATGCCGTACCCCGTAACCGTTTTGATGTGCCAAATAAGTTTTCGAAATGTTACTAACATCATTTGCAGGAAAAACAAACGCCAAAACCTCTATTAGCTTGTTTAGCATCACCGAGATATACTCCTACGAGTTTAGAAATTGTTGTGTAAAGGTAATGATATATTTTAATGAGTTACTTATGCCCTTTCACTCAAAATTTAATTTTAAAATGACAAATATATTCTTAGTTGGGGTTATTTCGAAAACGGAACACGAAAAATGAGTTTTGGAATTTTTACACAGGCCTAACGGTACCTGGCTACCATATACATGCCACCAGGGTACCGCCGGTAGCCTAGTGAACGTACCGCGTACGTTTCACTCAGGAGGTACACGGTACCCCCCCTACCGTGAGACAGTACCTGGATACCGTACGGTAGGCTGAACCGGCTGGGTACCCCGTCCTAACCAGGTACCGCCAGTAGCGAACCTAACTTTTGGCCAACACGGTACCCCCAAACGGTAGGCTGTACCGTGTGTCACGGTACCTAGGTACCGGACGGTACTGGCCCTACCGTGAAGGGTACCGGATCCGTTGGCAGCACTGTAGAAAAATGCCAATTTAAATTCAAATCACCCCTAATCACTTCCTAACGGCATTTAACGTTAAAAACTCAAATTTTAACATTCCAAACTCTTATGTAACCCCCCTCTAAGTCTCATTTTATGTACAACAACTTCTCAATTAAATCTAAAGCCTCTTTCTCTAATTCTTGAGTGTTCTTAAACCTTTGTTCTTATTTTTCTTACTCTTTTGAGTAAAAAGCTTTCATCTTTTTATACACTCACACACAAGGGCATTTGTGCTTCATTATTTTATATCTTTCCTATAGGCTTTTGTTGTTGTTGATTTAATCTTTTGTTCTTCTCCTACCCAATTCATATTTGTTATTATTTTGGTAGAGAAGCAACACCAATTTTTTATTGATTTGTAAAAGGTGTGGATAGCCTTTAAATCCTCAGTGTAAGGTTGAAGATAGCCTTAAAATCTTCAGTTGTAAACGGTTGAGATAGCCGTAGTAAAATCTCATTTGCTTATTGGCAAGGGTTGTTTGCCAAACCTCATTTGAGTCTTCTTAGTGAAGCCAAGCAAGTTAGTGGAGGTTAAATCCTTGAGGAGGAGCCTCGAGGTACTGGAGTAGGGAGTTCCCGAACCAGTATAAAATTGCTTGTGTCGTATTTTTATCCTTAAGATCTTTCTTGCTCTTTTTCCGCTACTACTTTGCGCAGTTTTTGTTTTTTTCGAAAAAATTGCAAACACCCTAATTCACCCCCCTCTTAGGGTGTAAACCAACTTTCAACTGGTATCAGAGAAGGAAGTTTGATCCTTTCACACTCATCTTTTATTTCTTTTTACGACACATGGATTCAATGAACTCCCAAAGTATTACTAAGCCACCATTCTTCAATGGGGATAACTATGGCTATTGGAAAATGCGAATGGAGAATTTCATTCAATCTATTGACTATGATTTATGGATAGTCACTACTCATGGTCCGTTTGTTCCTATGACAACTGTAGGTGAACACCAAGTTCCTACCCCAATGGACAAACTCACCACCGAAGACAAGAAAAATTTCTCCTTGAATTGAATTCCAAAGCATTAAACGTGTTGTTTTGTGCCTTGGGTCAAGATGAGTTTGCTAGGGTGAGCTCTTGCAAATCCGCAAAGGAAGCATGGAAGCTCCTAGAAGCCACCCATGAAGGAGATAAAGACACAAAAGCTACCAATATATGAACACTTCAAGATGAATAAAGTTTATCCTACTAGTGAGATTCAACCTCATTGTCAAAAATTTGAGTAAGCTAAATAAAGTTTATCCTACTAGTGAGATTAATACCAAGATTATATTCTCTCTTCCTAGAGAGTGGCATAGTCTTGTTGTAAATTTGTTGCCCAAATGTGTGGATGTTGAAACCTCCACCATTTGGAGCAGCCTATACTCTCACGAGCTTCTTTTGAAGAAAATGAAGGAAGAAGAACAGGTTCTTATCATCAAGAAGACCATGGCACTCAAAATTGATGACCATCCAGAAAGCGAAGGAGAAAGTGATGAGGAGCTTGCCATGTTCAAGAGATAGAAGAAGTTCATGAAATGGAACAAGGGCGAATCCTCAAAAAGATTTCCACCAAAGAAAGGTAAATCAAATCAAATAACTTGCTATGAATGTGGAAATGTAGGCCACATCAAACCGGAGTGTCGAAAGCTCAAAAAGAAGGAAGAGCTTAAAAAGGGGAAGAAGAAGGCATTAAAAGTTACTTGGGACGATTTAAACTCCGACGAAAGTGATAGTGACCAAAGCCAAGAAGAGAATGCAAATGCTTGCTTCATGGCCTCCAATGATGAAGAAGAGGTGAAAAATACTACTTGGGTTGTGGATAGTGGATGTTCAAGGCACATGACCGGAACAAGAGGATGGTTCACAAATCTCAAGGAGAAAAGTCATGGACATGTGAACCTTGGAGACAAATCTCGGAAGAAAGTAATTGGTAAAGGTACGATAGGTATTTCAAGTGATTTTTCAATAAATGATGTTTATCTTGTTGATGGCCTAAAATTTAATTTAATTAGCATAAGCCAACTTTGTGACAATGGCCACAAAATTGAGTTTAATGCAAATTCCTGCATTTTATATGGCCAAAATAAAGATGACATCATTTTTGAGGCTAAAAGAGATGGAAACTTATACAAGTTCAATTCCAATGACTTAAGCAACTCAAAAATCACTTGTCTTACTACTTCACTTGAATTTTAAACATTATGGCATCGTAGACTAGGACATGCTAGTTATGATCTTTTGAGAAAACTTTACTCAAAAGAACTCGTTGTTGGGCTACCAAAAATGAGCATACTTACTTCTCGTTTTTGTGATGCGTGCTCCCTTGGAAAACAACATAAAGTATCATTTAAGCCTATAAAAATGGTTTTAACGTCAAGGCCACTTGAACTATTACATATGGATTTATTTGGGCCCGTAGACGTTCAAAGCCTAGGTGGAGCTAGTTTTACTTTTGTGATTGTAGATGATTTTTCTCGTTATACTTGGACTATATTACTTGCCAATAAAGATGATGCTTTTAATGCGTTTGTTAAATTGTGCAAGAGAATCCAAAATGAGAAAGGTTATGAAATAACCTCCATTAAAAGTGATCGAGGAGGAGAATACCGAAACACCGACTTTGAAACGTATTGTGATGAACACGGTATTTCTCACAACTTTTCGGCTCCTAGAACACCTCAACAAAATGGAGTCGTTGAAAGGAAAAATAGGACGTTGCAAGAAATGTCAAGGACCATGTTGAATGAACACAACCTACCTCAATATTTTTGGGGAGAAGCGGTCAACACGGCATGCTACGTTCTTAACCGGGTATTACTTATACCTATTATTAAAAAGACTCCCTATGAACTTTGGAAAGGTAGAAAACCAAATATTTCCTATTTCAAAGTTTTTGGGTGTAAATGCTATATTTTGAATACCAAGGATCATTTAGGCAAATTTGAGCCTAAATCAAATGAAGTAATTTTCCTTGGTTATTAAACAAATAGTAGAGCATATAGGGTATATAATAAATCAAATCATAAAGTAGAAGAATCTATGCATGTAAAATTTGATGAAACCGATCCCTTTGGGTCGAGTAAGGTAATTGCAGGTTCAAATGAAGAAGAAGAGGAAGAGGAAATCCTGGAAATTCCTGCGCAAGAAGAAGAAAGTGCAAAGAAGGAACTACCGAAGGCATACAAACACTTGAAGAATTATCCAAGAGACAATATCATTGGAGATATTGAAAAGGGAGTTAGAACTAGGAACAATTACAATCTTTGTGCACACTATGCGTTCGTTAGTCAATTTGAACCTAAGAACGTAGAAGATGCACTAAAAGATAGTGATTGGATTATATCCATGCAACTAGAGCTTGAGCAATTTGAACGCAACAAGGTTTGGGAACTAGTCGAAAGACCGGAAA